CAGACGTTTTACTTGCTAATCCTGCAGATGTGTTATTACATTTCGTATCACCGAAGTTCAAACCTTTTCCTATCTCGCGCTTCCAGCGGATCTTAACGTCTGATAACAGGTACAACAGTGTGGGATTCTCACTCTGCTACCCAACAGAGAACATAACCTCCTCGCAGCCGCCATTAACAGGCGAATGCCACATTTGCAGCTCGCTGGAAGGAGAGGCGAACATGCAATACCAAAATTAGTCGCGCTTCTTCCCCTCGTCTCGCAGCAACACTCGTGCACGAATCTCGCCTCCCCCCCCCCTTCCCGCTCAGAAGCCTTGGCCTCGACATCACTCCGACTCAACGACGTGTGCTGCGAATGCATTCTAAGGAGCAGCGCCGGGGCTAGGCGTGAGCACACCGGGCGATCGCCCCGCAAATCAAGGATGGGGGACCGCCCGATCATGGGACTGATGGGAAAACTTAGTAAAAACTAGAAAAACAAATTAGAACTCAAGACAATTGTTATCGCAATTTTGTAAGTCGCGGTTTAATATTTCATAAAATTTTCAATTCATTTTTTTACCTTCAATAGTTAATTATAGTCATTACTTATAAGGAAGGATTATGAAATGAATCAAATGTCGTGAACATTAAAATGGGTTCTATTGAAATTAATATTTATGATTTCATGTGTTTAACCATTTAGTGCATCTTCACGTGAGGACAATAGACGCTAAGCGCACAAACTTTCCTTGGACATTAAAGGGTTAACAACAAGTGATTTATTAAACACTAACTAAACAAATTTTGTTAGCATTTTAAACTCATCATGGAAATTGGATTATTCTGTCACTAAATACTTTTATTTAAAACTGTAATTTAAAATATATTTTGAAAGCCGTTTCCTGGAATAAACGTTGTAATATTTGTTATTTGTTGAAATAAAATAACTTAGTTTCATGATACAACTTTCACGTTTTGAATTTTGTTTTCGGTTCAACATTGCCCTGGACCCAAAATTGGCTAGCTCCGGAACTACTAAGGATTCATTATAAAAACAGTATGTGTAGTTTTAGGTGAAGGAATTCGTGAGTGAAATTTAATTAAATGGCAGTGAATTGAATTTAAAAAACCTAAATCTTTAAGAGAGTATAAAAAGCTGAAACATACCGAAAAGATATTTTTAGGAAACCGACAGATTGATGTATCGTGCATGCAGACAAAAACGGACGCATTTCTTTTTCAGTAGTCGTTTTATTACATAAATACACACTCAGTTGACTTAATCAGCATTAGATCAATCTAATATTTCCGTTTCCGTACGAACACCTTCATTTCGACAATGCTAACAATCGGGGCAATTCGCGAATTTCGCTGATCCCGTGACATTTGCAAAGTTTATACTTCACGAAATCTGTAGTTATTAAGGTCACTGTTGAATTTATTTGAGTTCCTTCTATTTGATTAATGTATGACAGTGAACATGCACTCTTCTAATTTTCTGCAAAAACTTATTTCGAAAGAAAAAAGGTAAAGGGGAGGTCAGCACACGAAATCTATCGAACCTTATTTCGACATGTACACTATATCCGTTTCCTAGAGACAAAAATTTACTCCATTATTTCATTCTGTGAAACAAAAAAGTAGAAATTCATTTGGAAGGGTGCCCAAAAGAATATTCATGCAATTCGAACACGCATATTTCGATTGATTGTGATTTCTGGCGCGTCCACTGCCAAGGTCATTAGCAGTGTACGCGCAGTACGAGATGGCGGTGGTCTTCCACGGCTGGACGGCGAGATTCGGAGCCGACCTACCGTCGCCTGGCGGGGTTGCCACACCCAGGAATCTCGCACCAACGGGGAACCGCCCCGTCCGGGTCAATCGCTAAGCCCCCGACCGCTCTCCGGGCACGTGTGCTAGTATAGGGCATGTAAGTGTAAGTGCGTGTAAATAAAAGGTGAGGATAGGACACGAAAGAAAAGATCGCGCGCGGTCCATGGTCCGTTTGTTGGGGGTACTGCTCCGGCATTCGCTAGGGTGTTGACCTGAGGAACCACGGAAAACCACAGATCATAGCAATCGGTGGCTACAAGTCTCCTCTAGACAGCATGAGATGTCAACCTAGCTATTCAGATAGTGTCGAAAATATTGTCCTCGGGACTCGAACCTAGCATCTCCCGGTCAGAGAGAAGTCAAGGACATCAGTTGATGCCCTGAGCCACCCATTTCGAAAAATCAGTTCGGAAGTACGCAACCCGCGAGAGAGCCCGATCTCGGCCGGCAGGTCCTCTGGCGCCGCCGCCGCCGGCATTCGCCGTACCATTTCCGCCTGGGCGTCCACGTGGGGCCGAGGCGCCCGCCGCCGCCGCCGCCTTTGTCCTTTGTCTCTCGGGAGGGGACGTCCGAAGCCTAGAGACCGTCGCCGTTTCCGAGAAACATTCAAAAGACGCCCCGTCGCCGGAGAGCACACACCCACCATTCACTAGCTCCCGGAGCCCTCGGCGGGCCTACCGGAAACCAACCCTTTCCTCTTAAGGCCGCAGGCAGGCCAGAGGGGGAGGGGGAGGAGGCGTTGGTGGCGCTGAAGAGTGGGGGAAGGGACGGGGGGGAGGAGAGGGTTCGCGCCGGAGTGGAGGCCCGTGAGCACGCCGCGCCGGCGACGCAGAGGCGCGCCACGCCGGAGCCTGCCCCCGCAGCACACGCTCGCTTCCTTCGGGACCCGAGAGACGGGGTGCACGCCTTTAGAATTCCCAATGGACACTCGAGATGGGAAACTCAGCGGAATGTTTCTTCCAAATAGTTATATTTTAATTTTACTTCTGAATATTTACAACAGAATAAATAATTAAATTACATAAATTAATGTTGCCTATAAAGTTCGTATGAACATTTCTAAGATCATATGAACATTTCTATGCAATATCTCATATTAATACGTAGGGATTGTTGTAGGGACAATCCAATCATCTACTTCGCTTTGTCAATTATATTGAAAAGATAGAAAATTAAAGCCATTTTTAGATATTTATTACTGAGAAAAGCTACTGAAATGATATAGTTCCGGTAACGCTAAACTGTATTATCCCGCAATTAATTCATGGTCGTAAATCCACGAACCTATGTGGTGGATAGTTGTACGAAACAATTCCGACGCTCAAACATCAGTCTCAGCAGTAATAACCGACGTCAGCATGGCGAAGCTTCGTCTGGTCATATTCCTACAACCGACGCATTAACAGCACTCGCTAGAATTAATTGTTCTCCAGAACTCAGTTCATAGAATTTTTCACATTGAACTTAACGTTCCCATCAAGACAATAAAACACTCTATACCAAGCCACAAAATTATTTCCCCTCCCCCCTCTCTCCCCTTACGAGCTCCTAGAGGGGACCGAACGCAGCCTGGAGCACAGCAGCGGTGGTGTTGGTTTCTGGAAGCGCGTACTGCGCGGGTGGCCCCGAGGCGAGACAAAGGCGGTCCGTCGCGTCAGGACATGGGGCATCGGCGGAGACACCGGCGGCGTGCGCGGCCGTCCTTTCCCCTCCCGGACTACCTGGTGAGTCCCCGCCGCGGCCTTTTACCGGCTAATCGGGACTGGAGTCGGCGCGAATAGGAACCGCGCGGGTCCCGGCGCCGCGCCGCCGCCGCGCAACGCAGCGCTGGGCCGCCCGGGCGCGCGGGCGCCGTCGCCGTCGCCGGACGTGCACCGTTGGTTGCGCGCGGAGGCCCGCCCCGCGAGGTACAGCCCCCGCCAAAACGCGCGCCACACGCGCCCCGCCCGCCCGACGCCACGCGACCCAGGCGCCCGGTCGCCGCTCGCTTGTTCCGGGCGCCTGGGTTGTTGCGGGCGTTTGACTCCGACGTTCTCAAAGGCCTATGCTCCTAAAATAATAATTGCTGTTCTTTGTCCGAAAGACGTGTGAATAAGTATTTTGAGTACCTCCAAAATTAGCAATGAAATTCCTTATCCCATACAACCATTTTTAGAAAATAGTTCTGTTTTTTCAACTGTTTTCTCGAGAGAAACTTCTCTAATCGTATTTAGTTCTGAGTATGCAAACGAGAAAATTATTTTGTTTTGCATCTCATGGCCATGATCTACAACCTACACACACAATACTTATTTAAAGCTTATTTCCACAATAAATAGCTGAAGCTTATTTCCACAATAAATACCTGATAGCTGTTGGCGACCAACACCTTTGACAATTCCAGTCCTCAATTCAAAAGTTGCGGGATGATTTTGGGAGAGAGTGCGAGTTGTTGGGAGGTTTGGGACAAATAAAAGAGCCAAAGCGGAAATCCATGTAAGGCCTATTTGGCGGTGAGAGCCTTGCAGGCTAGAATCCAACTACGAAACCGAATGGATTTTTAGATTGGGTGCAACAGTGAATTTAGGGAGAGAGGGGAAGAACTAGTGATGATCACCATACACCCTCGAGTACTTTTTCAAAATAAAATTATTTCATTTTATAACATAAAAAATGTTTCTACATACAGCAAATCTTGATATTGCATAACATATTCATAATTTGAATAGTTGGTGAGTGTCTATTTTGTAAATAAGAACTTCATTTGCCATCCCAACAGAGAATCCGCATCTTCACGAATATTTCTTGATGCGATACTTTTTTGGCAAGTATTTGACACGATTTGGGAACTGGCTACTATCAGTAGTAGGTACAAGCGCAGAAATTCTGACGTACATCCACAAATAGAATTTCCAGGAACACACAGAACGGTTGCAGTAGTTATTCGGAGAATTCATTCAAACGAACACCGAAGAATTGGATTGAACGTAACGCTACTCCTCGCGCACACAGGTAACTACGAGTTCATGGTTGAATAAACGTGCAGGAATAATTATTTAATCACACTTTATCCGAGCGGTCATATAATTGAATGTATTTTTAAAATGTCCCATGATTTTGGAATTAGAGGCATAGACAGAGAGCGAATGTTTTAATCGACCTAAAAATTAAAACACATATAGATACTATAATATTTTATCTTACCTATCACACGATAATCCATACTTCGACCAATTTATATATATTTCAGCGTACTGCTAAAGGGCATACCTGCAACATAAGAAGAAATATTTTAGCAAGAGCATATTTCACATATTTACATTTAGAATATACTAACAGTAAACAAAATACATAGTGCTTGTTTTCGTCGAAAACTACCGATAAAACAGACATTTATTGTAATTTGAAGACCACATTCGAGTGGGTAGGCACTTGCAAACAATATCCAATAAATATTATAAAACTATTATTTAAAGAAGCAAACGCACAATACCAAAGGGTCATTCTTAATTTATTTGCGCATTATGTTCTATTTATTTTTTGGATAAAATCTTTGCCGAATGTTGCACGATGATTAGGAAGGCAATGAGCAAGTCAAAAAGGTGTAACCTAGGATGATTGTGTGTGGGTAAGCAGAACGAAAAGGGTTGGAAAGAAAAGCCAGTGGAAAACCCGCGGGTCTTCCCACTGACCTGAGATCCTTAATTCTCATAGAGCGCATGGCGACACGGCTGCATGCACATTTAAACTGCAAGAACTTAAAATAGGCTGATAAGGACAATTGAACAATTGAACGCAAAATGTGCTAGAAATATTGCAAATTTTTCGAAAATGTAGGCAATCATTAATAAAATACATAAAAGAGATCACTCCTGAAAACACGAAATAGGATACATATTAGTTCGTATTTTCAGGACACCTCGTTTCCTTTCGCATCGTTGACAATTCCATGCCGTTGTGCTTCATTACGATTCAGTTTCTCAACAACTCCAGTGGTGTGCAGTATTTAGCACGCAAACATATTCACAAATAAATTCCGTTGCAGTAACTTAAGTCATCTTAAACCTGAAGAACGGCTCTCGAGATAGACTAATCTCGCCTTGGTGACCCCACCGGGCGCGGCGACGAAGGGAGGATGAAGGGGAAGGCGAGGACCGCCATCGCGGACAACGAGCCTTAATTTCGCGTCTAATTACCGCGGAGGACTCTCCGCTGACCTCCGACTAAATTTAACCCTCGTCCGCCGCCGCACACACGGAGCGCTGTTTGCCGCGGAAATTCTTCAATTACACCTCGTTCCCGCGGGCGTGCTCGCGCACTCGCTTCCGCGGGATGGCGAGCGAGCGAGCGAGTGAGCGAGCGAGCGAGCAAGCAAGCAAGGAAGCGAGCGGGTGGGCGGGTCGGTCGGCTAGCGAGTGGGCGGGTTGCTCGGCTAGCGAGTGGACATGAAGCACCAGATTGTACCTGCAATGACGGCGAGCGCATGGGCGTATGCGTTGTCATAGCGACTTCGATAAGACCGAGTCTTGGTCACCTTTCGAGTTTTCACATTGTTCCAAGTGTGAAACTGGTAACATACAATGAGAATTAAATTCTCGCGATCGTCAGTTAAAGGAACTCAAACACTCCGCCGAAGTGACCATTTGCGTGGCAGTATCAGCGACAAGCCTGTTTGCGCGCTCTCTCCCCTCTATTCGCAGTCACTTTCTCTCTCGAATTTTTGTTATTGTTGTTGTTTAGGTGGTGGTTTTGACTGTACTAAAAGTACAATGTAAATGTCACTTATCCCATCATTGGTTAAATGAGATCATGCCATGAAAAGAGTTAAGGAAAATGAAGCTATTAGGTCTTTATGTTCACTGTAACATTAAAGCATGTAAATTTTAAATAAACAATAAATCATCCCAATCCCAATCCAACACCTTAAAAAAAAAAAAAAAAGAGAAGCAGTGATTCAAGCTCAAAATGCCCAAGGCATGCCTATTCCTAACCCAATGAAAAATCTAATTGTATCCAAGCCCCTTGAAATGCCACATGCCGAACCAAGGAAGAGAAATAAATGAAAAAAAAAAAATGTTCACTGTAGGGTTTCCGTACATTAAGTAAAACACACACATACGACGCGGGCAAAGAAAGTAACTAAACATTCATGATCGCATAGATTTCTTGATTTGATACAGATGTATAAGAAATCATATTTGCCGATACGTATTAATGAGCAGCGAGCTTAAATCTTTCGATGATTCTTGCAATTTAGAAAGTATTTATGCAACTCGATTGGATGGTCCACCATTTGGAGTTGAGATCCACAACTCAATGATGTTCGGGCGAGAGCACGAAACACACACAGCATATTCTCCGATTCTTGAGAAATTTTGGGAAACAGCGCGGACCTTCATTTTCCTCGCCAACTTTTTTGGCAAGTTCAATACTGTTTTAAGCACCAAGCCTTACAGATGCGCTTTCTATGTCGCTTTGTGGATGAAGACGAGGCTTCTCGACCTTATTCCTAAAATTTCGATAACGCGTACAACGCATACATACGTACACACAAGATTCCTTCTTTTTCTCCCTCTTATCCTTATCGGGGAGAATGGGTTTCTTATCTGTGCGAAGGGCGTCAGGGCGATAGCACACGAAATGTCCTCGAAACGTACTACGCTGTCCGACCTGAGAACGAATGTTTTCGGAGAACACTGTACGTACGTGAACGAATAAAAATGCATGCAGCAATTACATATTGTGCATATATTTCGAGTGCTTGCTGCTCTGTATGACGTCTGTCTGTACGCATGCATTACCCAGCAGAGCATGTAATTGACCTGACAGAAAAGACACGGCTGTTTGCTTGCAGGACAAAAGAACAATGTACAGTCTATTGCTCTTGCAAAGAAAACTCTAAAAAAAGACAACACAATGCACAAAACTGTAGTTGAAGCAGAGTATTCTTTTGAATAAATCACTGAACTATGAACAGTTTTTTTGGACAGAGGTTTTCGCTTTATTCTGTACTATGAATCCCATTATAGAATGATGCTTTATGTATCTTTTATTATTCATGCGTTTAGCCGACACAGACATCATTAGTTACGTCAGAAGCGAATGATAGCGGATGCTTTATAGTTTAGCTTCATACTATATTAAATATTATACATACACAAAAGATTGTGTGATTCCCATTATAAACAAACTACAATACATTCCAATGACAGTCCAGTGAGATTAGATGCAACTAAAAATTGTCGAAATTGTCGGGACGTGCAAGGAATTTGTGACTAGTGTTAATTGAGAGGTTTTTTAGTGCCTCGAGCCAGGCACATTATCCCCGAATCCTAAATTTTCGTCCCTTTTTCATATTTGGGAGTCTATATTGGGTTCACAATTTACTATCAGCACTGGGAATACGCAGGCATGCAACGTAACAAGGAAATATCCCAGAATATCTCTCATCTCCGGGGTGGAGTAATGAACCAATCTCTGTCCCTGCAACCAGGCCGGCGGAAGAGATGGGTACGGTGGGTATTAATATCGAATACAAACGTAGTTGTGTAAACACTAACCTGAAATTTGACAAAAATGGAAAAAAATTCAAGTTAACACATGTATTACAGCCATCAATTTAGTGGGAAAACTATTTCCCAAATTGACCAAGAACATTTTTCAATTTTCAAAGTTCGATTTCCATGCGTATCGACTAGAGAGCGGTAAGGACATGGCCTTGAGCACTCTCAAAAGAAAAGGGATAAATCCGGCGGATTTGCACGAGGTCGTAGGTTCTATGGGCGAAAGTGAGTTTTGTATGGGCCTTGTTCCCAAGAATTTGCGCTTTATTCGTCGCCTTATGACCATTCCAGGATCGTCTTCAAACAAGAGAAACTTTTCTGTGCTTCTCCGGGGAAAAAACTCGCGCACGACGATTCTGCAAAATTAAATCAAATCACTCAGTGATATTGCACTCGTACGCAGAGTTAGTTGAAGATAAACAATGAGAAATTGATGGCTGAATGCATTTCTAAACAAATTGCAAATGAGTGTCAGTTTTCGCATAGCGACATTTTAATCGTTCATCGATTCCAACTAAAAATGAAGAAACTATATATTTTATACCGTTATAATATTTTCTTTAAGACAACTTAAATACAATACAAAATTACGTGACTCTCCCTCCTCACCTGAAGTTTATACTTTCGCCGGCCCTGCCTGCAACACAAAGATACGTTTAGCCGGTCCGGATGGCCGAGATGGTTAAGGCAGTAGTGCCGTAGCGATCTCGTACTGAAGGATCGTGGGCTCGAGTCCCGCCTCGAGCATGGTTGTATTTATGTCCTTGATCTTTTGTGTCCTTTTATCTATGTACTTTCACACCCTATCATCATATTATGTCATTTCCACAGTTACCATACCGTTAAATGCAATAGTGGTCGCTAATGACCTAGATGTTGATGCAACCTTCGAAAAAATAAAAAATAAAAAGATACGTTTCCTCGCAGTGACGCAGGCAGCAAGGCCCGCGCTCCCGGTAGCCGACCGCAGGGGCGCTCGGGAGTTCGCGAATCTCGGAGCGCGCGAGCGGGCCGTGCGGTCTCGCCGCAGCCGCGTGATCCCCGCGATAAACTGATCTATTTACGACGACGTGGGTGCTGCGCGTTGCTCTTCCCCCAAGGGGAGGAGGGCACTTAAAGCTTCTGCTAAGTGGAGCACGCACTTGACGCTTGTTAGCGACGCACAGGGACAGTCAGCCTTCAGAATGCACGGAGGAAGGGGGAGCACGAGAGATTTTATCGGGAGAATAACTTAATTTAGCATTACACGTTTTCTTCGCCTGGTATGTGTGGTGTGTGATAGCAGAGAAGACAGTCGGGAACGCTGATGAGGATCCTGACGTAAAATTTACAGTAGGACGATTATTATATGCGAGATGTATGGTACGGTGTTATTCACAGAACTTGGAAGTACAGTCTCAGTCGTGAAGCCAATGAAGTTTTGGTCGTAGTGGCGTTCTTCTTAGCTTAAACAGAAATTTTTAGTTTTTGTAACTTTTCTCCCCACAACCAGTGCTTTTGGCCTTGTTTGTCAAGGAATCCACAAATACATTAAAATGTGACTGATAAATATACCCACGCTACTCTTCCCCTCTGAATAAACAAGATTTCAATTTGGTTATTAAATTTTAGGCTGCCCAAACTCAAATAAACGAAAGTGTACCTCATTTTTTTCTCGGAGAAGTGAAGAGTGCTTGTTGGTACCCTTTAATGACTTTACAAGATTGAA